AAACCTGAAAAAATATCTTTAAAATAATAAATAGGGCGCAGTTTTTAAAAACTGCAGAATATGATCCCTCCACATTTCCTAACCCCCATAGAGGCAGTTAAAACAAACTTAAAGTAAAAAAAACTAAAAATAAATTCACTGCCCCCCATGTACATCTTATGGATTACTTACTCTAAATCCTATTAACTGTAATAGTTTGACATAGGAATCAATATGTTCAGTGTGCCTTAAAAGGTTGCTCTAAATAAACAAATCACGACCTACTGATCTGCAAGGCAAATTTACTCTTAAAGCATTTTCCTTTCCAATATGAACTCATCACACAGCAACGCAAAAATCAAATCCTGAAACATGCAGGGCGAAGCGTTGCAAATTTTCTTACTCCACACACCTCTGTTTACCTAGCAGTAAGTAGGAACCTGGTTGTTAGTTGATTGGTGGATCACTTTTCCGGGGGGTAATAATCCCTTCAAAAAAATGCGGTCACGCAATCTACGACTGTACATAGGACACATCTGTGTGCAATTGGCTGCCGGGTTTCACCCACAAAATATACAGGCAACTCACTTTACAGTATATTCTATGAAGCGCTTTGAGGCGTCTCAAAGATGTGATAAGGCGCTATATCAAATGCAAGGATTATTATTAGTAGTTGAATGATAATACATGATAATGGAAATTACTGAGATTGCTTCTTTGATAGGTAAAGGCACAGCCTTGCATTAGTGCTCGGCAACAAAGACTAGAAACTCATAAGTTAAAATCCAAGTCTGTGCTGAGTGAACTGAGCTCAGCCAAAGCAGCAGTTTAACCAAAACAATTGATCTCAGCATGTCCTGGGGACAAGAAGATAGAGAGGGGAAAAAAGTCAACGTTACTCTTCCCGGTACAATGGAAAAACGTTAAAAGGTGCAAGTTTGTGAACATTATGTGGAGCAGGCCTGGGTTCACCTATGGTTCCCTCTTAGGTCAAATAATCTGCCAAATAGCAAAACACAATGACCCTCCCCCCAAAACTGGCCACTTGGGTGAGGAACTGGGCATCGGCTGTCCAGAACCCATGAAACAATACTTCAAGAGGTTATTACCTTCAAGTGAGATTGAGAATAAATTAACACAAGAAATACAAGTGTAACTAATAGCACTAGATAGAAAATAAGATCAGAAAATATTTAGAGATAAAAAAAGTTTATTGGTCACAGGCCATTTTCTAGTTCTCAGAGCTGAACGTTATAATGGAACAGGATATAGAAATAAATGTTTCCACCTGAAATATCTTTTCAGACATTGACATCACTATATTTCTCTATTAAAATGAATGAGCAAATCCAAACCAATTGAGTAATATTTCAAAAAGGAAATGTATAAATAAAACAGGCTAAAGGACCATTAATGCTGACTTATGGATAGCATTGTTATTCACAAAATCAGGATAAGACCATTTAAGGCTTGTGTGTCTTCAGCATTGCTAAATTGTACAAAAATATGGATAATGATGGCAAAGGACCCAAAGCAATTGATCCGATTGAATCATATTGTGTATTTATATATAATATATATTGTCAAATAATCTGCCATCACTCACTGTATAGGTATCAAGATCGTGGAATTAAGAAATTAACTATTTAAATCAGGAGCCACCTGTGGATGAGGAATTTCACTGTTCAGAAGAAAACAAGGCAACCAATACAGTGCTACATGGCAATAATACAAAAAACAAGAAGATGGTGATACTGCCAATCAGATGTCCTGTGCAAAACAGAGGTGTATATCAATATACACATAAATATACTAAATAATGGACATTGGAAAAACTACTGAAAGTGAAATCCAGTCTAGCAGACCTGGAAGATCTTAGATTTGATCATTGGTCTGTGCTGGTTGGTCCAATGAACTACTGACGGATGGATAAGGGAGGGTGGGGGAAGAAACGAGAAAGAACATTTTCCAGGTTCCCATTCCTAATTGCTGTTCACTGACCCCTGCTGGAGAATGTGTGTGTATATATTGTTAAATAACTTGCCATCCCTCACTGTGCAGGATCACACATAAATAAGTTATTTGCATTCCCTCAGGGCAGAGAGTTGCCAGTAGTTGTGAAACCATACAACACCATGAGTAAGGAACTCTAGGAAAGAAAAATAGGAGGAACAGTGAAGCTTAATAGTATCTTTGGGCTGGATCATTCCCTTCCAGACACATCCTCTTGAAGTGTATGTCAGAAACCTTCAATTACTGCATTGTAACTGCTTCACAGTGCTCATTATTTCTCATTCTAAATTTCCCTTAAACTTGCAGCTGTTAATTAAAGATATTTTTCAATTTCGCAATAGTCTAGTTAATATCCAATTTCTGACAAATTGTCCATAATAAATAGTTTTGCTGTATGTACTATCAAAACTAGGTAAAGGGCTGATCTTGGGTCCTTAAATACCAATTTTGAATGCCCGACTTGGATTGCACACTATTTGTTTCAAAATTCAAAATGCCCTTCAAGCAGAAAGAATAACAATCCTCCAGGTAAATATATCATTCACTTCATGGCTTGTTTGTGAGACATCACTGTGAAAGAATTGGCTGCCATGTTTGCCTACAACTACAGTCACAACAATTTACACCAATTCTCCATAAAGCACTTTGAGGCATTTTGACATAATATCAAAAGCAATTATTTTTATTTATTGATTACTATTAAATATTTCTGAAACTCATGTACTGCACCAACGAAATTTTAATCAGTTAAAAATCTGAACAAATAAACATCTTGTAAAGAGAAAAATGCTACTGGAGGAGAGAAACAACTGGACAGTAAAATGCCAGAGGTTGGAACAAAATGGGCTTACATAAATGTAGTTTATTGGTTCCTTTTAAGTTAAGTTTAGTGCCTGCTTCCCCACCCCTGCCAAACCCTGCATCTGGTTAAATTTACCCAACAGATACAAAGGGTGTGTCATGACAGTCACTCCAAGTTTCCAATGAGCACAGTAAAATCTAAACCACACAGGTAATCACTGTTATGACATTGTGAAACATGGAAAACCACAAGAATAACAAATGAAAAAAAACAAGTGATGTATGCCCCCCAAAAAGGCATGTTAGAATGAACATGGAAACGTTTTAAAATACTAACGTCGGTTTTACTTATCATAGAAGTGTTTTGGTACTGCATTTCTACTATCTACAGAAAATCCAAGTTAGGAAGATCTCTTCACATTCACAAGAAAGTTTTTTGGGGGGTAACCTCTTGTAAATTTCTGTGTAGAAACCTACAATAGAAACTTGCAAGTTCCCTGGTATTACAATTGTTGAAACAATACAGCTTAATTTGCAAAAAAAGAAACAAATTGTTATATAAAACCTTCCAAACGTTGGATAAAAAGAGGTAACGGGGCACAAATTAAAATCATTTACAATGAAAACAAAACCACTTTTCCCGTACAAGCAAGTATGTCAAACAGTATTGTGAATCTTTCCATTGGGATGCTGTTCAATGAGTAATTGATCCGATTGCAGTTTATCAAGACGCTTCCAAAATAATCCAACACTTTTCCCCTTCTCTCTCTCCCCCCCCCCACCCCACCCCTCCCCTTCCCTCCTTCTATTCCATTTTTGTTGTTGTTGTGAAACGTTGTGTTTCAGCGACTGAAGGAAGAGATCGTCGAGTCCAAAAACTGGTGGTGAAAGCATCAGGAGGGACAGCAAAAGCGAAGCGAAGCAGTCGGTGCGCACAGAGCTCAGGGTGCGGCAGCGAGCAGACAGCCCTGACAGCTGGAGCAGGAGTGAGGCACTGGGACTGAGCTGAGCCTGAGTCTGAGCTGAGCAGAGCTGAGCCTGAGCTGAGCCTGAGCCTGAGCAGAGCTGAGCCTGAGTCTGAGCAGAGCTCGAGTCTGAGCTTGAGTCTGAGCTGAGCTGAGCCTGAGCAGAGCTGAGCCTGAGCAGAGCTGAGCCTGAGCAGAGCTGAGCCTGAGCTTGAGTCTGAGCTTGAGTCTGAGCTGAGCCTGATTCGAGCCTGAGCCTGAGCTGAGCCTGAGCAGAGCTGAACCTGGACAGTCAACAAAGACTGAGCGGCTTTCCGAGCTGCGCCCAGCACAACGTGAGCACGTCGTGGACGTCAATGAACCATTGCTATTTTGGAGGAGGAGAGAGAGAAAAAAAAAGAGAGAGAAAAGCGGAGTTGAAGAGCTCAACCATCTCGTAGGAAATGCCAAGGACGGCGAGACCAAGAGATTTCCTCCGAACCTGGCAGCTGTCCTGTCCACAAGCCCGGATCCCTTCCCACTGCAATCCCTTCCCACTGCAATCCCTTCCCACTGCAATCCCTTCCCACTGCAATCCCTTCTCACTGCAATCCCTTCTCACTGCAATCCCTTCCCACTGCAATCCCTTCTCACTGATGAACGTGTTGGATCCCGCGTTGATGCGCGACATTTCTTTCGGTCACTGGGTTTAAACCGGTTGTGGTGCCGGGCGGACATCATCCGTTATCACACTGCGGCCAACCTCGCAGTCCACGCCGTGAAAACACTGGATGTGCCATTCGAAAGGAAATGCACAGACGCACTTTTCGATCATATTTTTACAATCCTTTTTGTTTGTTTCGACGTTTCCCAATTTTTTTTTATTGTGCTGCGCCTTTGTCCGGAGATATCTCTCACCCACTGAAACTGGAGTCATCTCCAATTGCAATCCACATAAAATAACATGCCCCCTCCTCCCTCCCCCCCCCCACACCCCACCTTCCTCCTCCCCCCCACACACACACACACAAAAAAAACAACTGCAACGTTAATGAAACTTGGAATTGGATTTTCTCGACATAGCAAATCTGGCACAACTTAAGTTTGAAGAAACATTGTGATCATGGCTGCTCACATAGCGGACAGACCTTGAAGGGAGGGGGGGGGAAAGGGAAGGGGGAAAGGGAAGGGGAAAGGGAGGGGGGGAAGGGGGAAAGGGATGGGGGGGAAGGGGGCATTATAAATTATAGAAATTGCACAAACCTTGTACACTTGTCCATAGGTGCCATTTCCGACCACTTCAACCAATTCAAATATCCCCGCTGGGTCCTGCACACACACACACATACACACACACACAAAACACACACACACACAAAAAAAAGGTATTTTTGAAATGTAATTACTGTATTGCAAAATCCCAAATCTGCTCTAGTCGGATGATGGTGAAAATGCAGCTGTTGCGCCCTATTTCCATGCACATGCCAATACATGCACAAACAAAGAAAGCTCTCAACTGTTCTTGCTCCCCCCCCCCACCCCCACACACCCCACCCCACCCCAATTCAACCCCAATAAATGGCACCCAAAAAAAAGACATCCAATATCTTAACACAACAGCCTTCGTTCCTGTGCGCAAACGAATCTCAAACGTTGCACAAACCCATTCCCAGTGTCTGTAAGAGTTCACATTGTCTTTCTGTACAACTATCCCCCCACTCCCTCTCTCCCCCCCCACCCCACCCCCAGCCTCAGCCTATACTCACCCGCAGAGAGGAGAGGTCTATATCCACCAGACTTTTAGCAGGAGAGTCGTTCGCCATTTTTCGTTATATATTTCTTGCACTCTTGTTGGGATTCGGAGGGGGTTCATGTATTTGTGGGTGTCGGCGGGTGTTTGTGAAGTTACTGTCCGCACCCTCAACCCCCTGTTCTCTAGAGCATGTTCAGGTGGCAGTGGCTGCTCCTGGCTCTCCTCCTTCCCTCCTTCCCTCCTTCCTTCCCTCTCTCTCTCTCTCTCCACAGACACAAACACAGGAAGCCGCTCTGCTCAGTTGCCTCTCACTGAATCACTCACTGACCGACTTGCCCAGTGGGGGGAGCGAGCCTGGAGCGCGCGCACACACGCACGCGCACACACTCACACGCCCCGCCACGCGCGCGCGCGCGCGCGCACACACACACACACACACACACACCGGTACAGGAGCGAGCGCGGGCACGAGAGCGAGCGCGGGCTATCAGCTGGAGAGTGACAAGACACCGACTGACACCCACACGCCTCGCTCTGCCTTCAGCACAACCTGCCCTGTTGCTGCAGAGCGTCAGGTTTACAGGGTTTAACGGGGATTGCGGCTCCCGCAGTCAGGGACTGTGATTGGGGACCGTGCAAAGGGTGAGGAGGAGGAGGAGAAGGAGGTGGAGGAGGAGGAAGGGGTTATCTGTCTCCCTCTTCTTCTTCCAGACTGTTTCCACCAAACGCAATGCCCCAATGCAAACAAAGAGGCGAACTGCATGCGCGTTCACACAGTCTCTCTCTCTCCCTCTCTCTTTCTTTCTTTTCTCTCTTTCTCTTTCTCCAGCTGAGAAACGCGTGCTAACACCAGGCACCAGCGGAAAACACGCAAGCGCTTGGCTTCTGGGTAACACACACACACACACACACACTCCTCTGCTCCTCAGCTCAGATATATATATATAGAGAGAGAGAGAGAGAAAGAGAGAGAAAGAGTCTCCTCACAGCCACACACAAAAAAAAATGGTCATTGATAATCAGAAAGGGTTAGGGTGAGGGTGGGATAGGGGAGAAAGGGGGGGAAATAAACGCACGAGTTTGGCCAAACTTTCTTGTCAATTTTCACGGTTTGTAAACATGGTCAGGCTATGGGGAGGATATTTACAAAACATCGAATCGTTCCCCCGAAATGTAAATGTAAACAAGAGTGCAGTTCTGTCAATGACAAACGAGCCGCAGGGAATGTAAATAACGTTACGCTTTTTTTTCCCCTTCACAGCAAAGCCGATTTGACAGCGCACCGAGTGAGGGAGGGAGGGAGGGAGGCAGGGAGTGAGGCAGGGAGGGAGGGAGACAGCGAGTGAGGCAGGGAGGGAGGCAGGGAGTGAGGGAGGGAGGGAGTGAGGCAGGGAGGGAGGCAGGCAGGGAGGAAGGGAGGCAGGCAGAGAGTGAGGCAGGCAGGAGGAGGGAGGCAGGCAGGGAGGGAGGGGAGTGAGGCAGGGGGGAGGGAGTGAGGGAGGGAGGCAGGCAGGGGGGAGTGAGGCAGGGAGGGAGTGAGGTAGGGAGGAGGCAGGCAGGCAGGGGGGAGTGAGGCAGGGAGGGAGTGAGGCAGGGAGGGAGTGAGGGAGGGAGGGAGGCAGGCAGGGGGGAGTGAGGCAGGGAGGGAGTGAGGCAGGAGGGAGGGAGTGAGGCAGGGAGGGAGGGAGGGAGGGAGGCAGGCAGGGAGTGAGTGAGGCAGGGAGGGAGGCAGGGAGTGAGGCAGGCAGGGAGGGAGTGAGGCAGGAGGGAGGCAGGCAGGGGGGAGTGAGGCAGGGAGCGAGGCAGGCAGGGGGGAGTGAGGCAGGGAGGGAGGCAGGCAGGGGGAGTGAGGCAGGGAGGGAGGCAGGCAGGGGGGAGTGAGGCAGGGAGGGAGGGAGGGAGGTAGTGGGGCTGAGCCATTCGCCCTAACGTTTTGCAACGCCGTGAAAGGTGCGACGACCGCGCAAGAGACGCACTGAGCAGCAAATCTCGTTCGAAAATCGTTAGTCGTCGTGAAGCATTAATAACAGTTCCCAAACAAAAACCCGACGAAAACCCGACGCTCCGACCAGCAAAAGCCGAGGCGGTGCCAATCCTGAGCTGATCCGTCGTAAGCAACTGCGAGAAATCTGGGACGGGGACAACTGGAAGCTTATTAACAGACAATACATACATTCAGCGCACATTTCGTGGCGGAGTGTGATCACGTCCTCCCCCCCAAAAAAAAAATTTCGTGACCATCTGTTCATTTAAAAGCAACATCACGGTTTTTTTTTGAAAAAGGGGCAAAGCAATGTTTTAAAATATAGTTGATTATATTCGATATTTTTTAAATGGATGTAAGAGTACTAGGATTGAGCGGTGAAGCCCCAATGTGGTTGCAAATGTGGACGTTTGCAGCGCCGACAGAGACAAACTTGCACTGTATATTTCGGCATCTTAACTCAAACCCACGCTGCTTGTTTTGAGTAACCCTTTATTTTACATCTTCCATTGGAGTGAATTCGTATTTTCCTTCGCAAACCGCGGGTCGTTTTTGTTTAGCATAATCAGGTCTACAGAAATAAACAGAGAGATGTAATAATGTAAACGTTCAAGAAGAAAGCAGTATGTCATCAAACTTCAGAGTACATTTCAGCACAAAAGCATCTGCAACAATTTATTTTGCAGTAATCGCCAGTTAGTCCCCAATGCACTACAAAAATAGGCACATTATGCAACTGCAATGACTTCATACAGCAGTCTTAGAAATCTATGTCCCGACTGTGCAGCGTGGCAGACGTAGGCAGATTTTCAAAGCAAAAGGAGCTGGCAAGAAACTTGTTTTCTAGTGATCTTTTCCATACTTTGCTTGGAAGTTTATCTTTAACAAATATAATAATAATAAGAATCCTTCCATTTGATATAGCGCCTTATCACGTCTTCAAGACGTCTCAAAATGCTTCGCAGAACATACTGTGGAGGTAATTGACTGCATACTTTGTGGGCAAAAGACGGAGCCAATTGCACACAGCAGTGTCCCACAAACAGTCGGAGATGAAAATATATTTTTTTCTGTAAATGGAGTGGAAGAAACATGTAAAGAGGTTGAAAGCAATCTGCCAATTGACTAAGAAACGGGTTCCTACTTACTGCTAGGTAAACAAAGTGTGTGATGTAAGGAAACGTTGTGCCCTGCCTGGGAATCAAACCCAGGTCCTCTCACTCGTGAGGCGAGTACTCTAATCACTAAGCTACAGGATTCCACGTAGTTTAATGGTTCAATATCATAAAACATTCCTCTGTACATGTTGGATGTGTGCGGTTCCTATGATGGGAATGGGAGAATGGGATGGAGCTTTTTCACCAACATTCACAGACCTTCAAATGAATGAATGAATGAATGAATGAATGAATAGATGGACGGACGGACGGACGGATAAACAAACAAACAAACAAACAAACAAACAAACAAACAAACAAACAAACAAACAAACAAACAAACAAACAAACAAACAAAAAAATAATAAATAAATAAATAAATAAATAAATAAATAAATAAATAAATAAATAAATAAATAAATAAAATGAATGAATGAATGAATGAATGAATGAATGAATGAATGAATGAATGAATGATCATTCTATTTGATACAGTATCTTTCACGTCAGGAAGATGTCTGAAAGCTCTTCAAAAGAGTTACTGTAAAATGTAATGAATATGTATTTTGTAGGCAAATGGAACAGCCACTTGCGCATAGCATGTCCTATAAATAGTCATAAAGTCATCAACCAATTTTACTTGGGGGATGTTGGTCAGGACATCAGTAGAAACTCCTTTCTCTTCTTGTGTAGTGCTTTTGGATCTTTAATGTCCATCTGAACAGGCAGGTGGGACCTTGGTTCAATGTCTTATCCAAAGGATGGCTCTTCGAACAATGCAGCACATCCCCAGCACAGTCCCAATGTGGGGCTTGAACCCATAACCTTCTGATTCAGAGAACCTCGTAGCTCCGTTGAGTGCCAGGCTGACACACAAGAAGTTATGAATGAGAAGTTATGCAAAATAATATATCAAGTGGATAAGTGTTTTAAGTAAATGAAAATGAAATATATATGATAAATGTTTCACAGAAGAACTAACCTAATAATTGAATGTTAACCCCAATGACTCTCAAGCTGACATGACAGTGCTATAACATGTATAGGCATTGACTTAAGTGAAGAATAAAGTAACTACTTGAAAGTTTTGGGGCGGGAATGTATGGTAATATTTATCAATGTATGTACCCTGTAATTTCTGAGGAGCTAAGTATCCACATCTTTTGACAGAATCAGAATGGGGGATAAAACACATTGCTGGAAATGCAAAGCACATTGAGTTGAAAGAAAGAGAATTGAAGGCCACTGCTTTAATTGTGACTCTTCATCAGAATTGGCCCACCTCCATTTTAGTTTTCTTTCAGATTCTGGCTGGCTTAATGTGTGGCCCACTTTCTATTTTATTTCAGATTTCCATCATTTACAGTTGTTTTTATATGCAATAATGTGATCCTGGTGAATCATATCCATAAATAGAGTGGAGAGAAAAGATTACAATGTGAGGAGGATGAAAGAAAATACATTTTCTCCCACAGTTTTCTCACTTGCTCTCCTGAATGTGGTAAATTATGCTGAGTTTGCACAGTATCATGTATACCCTTATTTCCGCACTTCACCAAGTAGCCAGTCTACATGTGTGAATCAAGATATTGAGTTAATAATCCTTTCAATTTGATATAGCACCTTATCACATCATTGATACATCTCAAAGTGCTTCACAGGATTTATGTTAAAGTCCGGCGACTGTAGTCAAATGAAGCAACCAATTTGCACACAGCAATATCTCATAAACAGCCTTGAAGTGATGACCACGTTTATCTGGGAGATTGTTGGCTAGGGCACTGGAGAAACTCCCTTCCCTTTTCAAATCATGCCTTGGAATCTTCAACACTTACCTGAACAGGAGGACAGGATTTTGGTTTAGTATCTCTGATAATGCAGGTCTCCCCCACGTATGGCACTGGAATGTCAGCTCAAGTCAACCATGAGCTTACAGATAAAACTACTATGGGGTTTGAAGCCACAACCTTCTAACCCGAACGAGAGTCCAACCAACTGGGATGAAACAAATTACGTGGAGGATCTAATGTCCGCTTATGTGTACTTTCCAGCATAGTAATCAGCATCCAATTTATTTCTCCTCTCCATCCCAGAGTAGTGAGGCCAATTTAGCACCACCTCAGGTCAATTAATTCAGTGCAGACCAAAGATCAGACTTATGAAATTTTGCTCTTTGGCTCAGTTTTAAAATAGGCAGTGTGGAGAAATGCTATATTTCTTATTT